AAAAGACTCAATGCATTGCAGTTGCAGCGGCCATTGATGCAACAGGCCCCAAATTACCATGGCTTGCCACTTATCACACTGAGGCTCAACGTCTTCATCGTCGCGACCTCAGAGGACTTTGCTTCAGGCCTGGGGGGAAACATGTACAAAGTACTGTTCTCACCAACGCACCTCTGCAAAGCGGGGGGTGTTGATAGGTAGTGGCATTCCGACATGATACTGGCTCAAGAAAAATTGACTGCCGCCCGTGCTGACATTTAGGTAGATCCCACCTTTCAACATTCCTCTCCTTCGCACAACCCTTAATTTGCGGTTTGGATTGGCTTGGGAGTTTGGGTCCCTGGTTCTTGTAGAGGTGTATGGGAAAACCACCAAAAACCAGCAAACCGGGCTCCAAATCGCCAATGACGTTGATCTCATGGCAAGTGAAGTCCAACCCCCAATCCAAACCGGGCTCCAAGGGGGAAGCTGATGCCCCTGTAAAGAACGGGTTCGACGTGGGATTTGCTGGCGAGTGACCGTCCAGAGTGACGAGTGCGTTCCGAGAGTTGCTGTAAACGTGCCAGGGCCGGAAGAAGTCGGGGCCTCAGACCGCCTCAACAGGGTTCTTAAGGACTTGGGTGCTTCAATGTGGGGTTGTGTTTCTATGATAGTACCATCTTTGGGGTTGGGCTGAAAGGAAACCAAAAAGGAAAACCGAAAGTCATTTTGGGGTCCCCCTTGTAGCTTTTTCGAGGGAGACCTCGAAAGGGGATGTTTGCAGAGGACACCTGGGTGGGCCCTTGCAGACCTGATTCTTCCCACAAGAGCTTCTTCGCTCAACATTTGGGTTGGGAACCCGGGATGGGTCGGGGCAAATCTTCTTGTCAGCGCTGCGAAAACGGGAGAACATTTGAAGGCAATGAGTCAGTAACAGTACTGGACACCTTTCTTGATCAGCCAGATTCCAAACGGCTGAGCCAGACAGCCAGACACACAGGATGGCAATGGCGACCGTGACAAAACCGGGATTTGTCAAGGTGCCTTGATTGGGGATGGCGCCAGTTTGGCTTGGCATGTTTGTCTTCAACTCTGCTTCAAAGTTGGTTGTCTTGCCGAACTCACGGGAAAATTGTCCACCAATGACTCAAATTCTTAGGGCCTCACCATCCAGGCGCACGGGTCAGGTTTGGTTCATAGGGTCCATTAGGGTCCACTGATTCACAAATGGGTGTGCCTTTTCTTGGTGGCTCTTGGGGTGGTTTCAAAAACCGAAAGGACACCGCCAATTCATTTTGTGGGTTTCCCTACGAGACAAACTCACAAGCACTTGATGGTGGGGACCCCGCTCAATTTGAAAGGCCTTTCACTGGCAGTCGCAGTCGCTCAGGGAGCGGCGACGCCTCCCTCGCGCCTGCGAGAATATCTCGCGAGGCGGGAGACCGGTGACGGGCTTAAAGACGCTAGGGAGGGGGTGTCGTTTTTTTTTTTGAATCGGACTCGCCAAACATCTGCCTATGTTTATTCCGAAAAAGCACCAGCTCACCATGATGAAGATCCTTTCCTTGGGATTCAGCATTGTCCCATTCTGGGTTCAAGCTGGATAAATGCAGGGACCTGAACAACCAAACCCCTCGCCCAGGTGTGGTGTCGTTTTTGGGGTCATCTTTTGACGCTAGAGGACGACTTGTTTGCAAAGAAATGTGCCCGGGTGATCATCTCATCGTCCCGCAGCTTTTCGTTTCTTTTTTGCAGGCGCAAGCAAATGATGTGCCTTCCGGAAATGGAATCCAAGGCCCATCGTGTTTGGAGAACCATGCTCGAGAGTGAGATCAGATTTTATCTTGAGGCTTGAGGACATGGGATGGTATGTGTCTTAAGGATACTGTACGTGGACGAGATCCGATTCGCACCACTTAGCATAGATGAGAAATCCATTTCACACCACTTGGGACAGATGAAGCCCAATCATGGTTGATACACCACCTTGTCCATCCACATGTTCATTCGGACGTGTTTTCTTCAAGAAGTGAGAAGTGATGAACCCCAACTAAAACCAGGGCCACCCCTGGGGTTGATTCATTTGCGGCCAACATTACCCAGAGTTTCTTTCCCCACTTCATACAAGGGAATCCCCCTTTCTATGAAAAGCATAGTCTTTGGGGTTAGGCCCTTTCTGTTGTATCACAGAAGTCATCATTCCCCCACAGGCAACTTCCAAAAGCCGAGGGGTTTTTCCTTCCGGTTTCTGGGCTTAAGGCAAGCCAGGAAGGGAAAGGCAGGAACAATGCCTATAGTCTCTGGGAAGCCCTTTCGGTTGTAGTAGTCATTCCCAGCCCTGGCAATGTCACCTGAACTCCTGGCATTCCCTAATGGTTACCCACCAAGTGGTTCAACTCCCAGTTTACCTAACTATATGGGGTCAAGTTTGGATCTGAATGGTTTCCAAGCCACCAAATACTTCTCAACGAGCTTTCCTTTCGGTTTCCCCAAGCTCCGAGCCCCACGGAGAGAAAATCCGTCGCCGAACGGCCGAACGGGAGGCCTCAGCAGGTGGGCCCAAAGCCGGTGGTCCTGGATGAGCCAGGAGATGGATGGATTTTGGTTTTCCTCGCGCGCGCAGTGGATCGATCCCAAACGTTTAGAAAAAAAAAACAAAACACGGATTTTAAGCAGAAGCCCCTGGTTGACTTTTTGATTGGGGGGTGCCCGCCTTTTAGTGGGGATTCGTCACTTTTTGGAGGGAACGCCCCCCCTAGTACAGGGACGGGTTTATTGATCCTGGGTCAGCATTATAGTCTGAGGTTGCTATTGGGTTTTGGATCTTTAGACTTCAACTTGCTTGATTGAAATCATTTGGGTTGTTTTTATTTGATCCCACGACAAGCTAAACTTTTTGCAGCGGGATCAACAGTAGTAGGTGACCAACTATGTTCCTTTTGGATTTTAAAGGGTGGCAAGCCCTTGGTTACCTACTATACAGGTTCAGGTAAATGGACGGGTTTGGTTTGGACCATTTCGGTATAGTATATTCCCCAAGTTCCGCTTCGGACATTGGTCACTTGGTTTGGAATTGTAAACCATTCTGATAAATGATGTTTTTTGCTTGGCCCAACTGGAGAAACGAGTTCTGGAGGTTTGGCACTGGGGCTAAATAATCAGAAGGGGGGTACCACAAAACACATATTCAGCTTTGCTTTGGAAGAACAACTACTTCGCATACAGTTTGCTGTGCGTCCCTTCTTCCATTTTTGTTTTGTGGAGAGGTTTGGTGGATGAGTTCCAAACAACTGAGCCCTTTTCCCATTCGATCAAAGCTCAACGGAGATGTGACGATGCTTTCGAGCATACAATGAACCAGTCCGGTCCCCCTTTGGGACATTGTTGAAACAGGATACCTGCAAGGACGACCACTGGGTGCCGATTTTGGACAAGCCCTAAGTTATTTTTTACAGGGAGTCAGATTGGCAAACTCCAGAAGATTGGGCCCTACAAGAAGTGAGCTAAGTTGGTGGGCCAAATTCTCGTAGCATTTCTTGTACCTGATTTCTAATTGGCCCAAGCTGTTCGGCTTCTGCAGGACCAGAAGCCAGGGGCCGGAAACACCGGCGGAAGCGAACATGAGCGCGTTCCGGGAAAAGGGGGCCGTGAGGTATCTGGTGCTTCCATTTTGGGCTCTCAAAATAGGAATCAATTCAGTCCCCTAGAATTGTTGGTGTCCTCTTAGTTTTCCCTTGGCCATGTGCCAGAATAGTAGGCAACCGGATGACCAGGTATCTTTGGCTTGATGGTTGTTACCACGAATGTTGGGGAAGACATCGGGAACTTGGTCGCCAACTACCCAGAGAGTGCCTTGGTCCGGGTCTGAAAAGGGTTTCAATCACCTCTTCAGCGTTAGGTAGCCTGGTATTCGAATTTGCCGCTACCTGGAGTCTCCTTCTGACCCTTAAACGATGGAATCTATCAAACATAAGGGGTCATGACCAACCATTCTTGAAGTCATGGAGACTCTAGGTAAGCTTGACAATATGGCTTCTCCCCGCAAAAAGGAATCCATGGGTTGAGGAATTCCGGTTTTGGTTGGCCGATTCTGTGCACTATGTTCAGAAACCCCCATGCGGAAGAGTCATCAGCCGAATTGAATCGAAGCTGAGAAGTTGAACCTTAGACAAGCAGGGAGGTTCTGGACATCCTGCAAGGGCCAAGAGTTCTACGTATTTTCCTAAGCTGACCCAAGTTGGCGTTGTGGGCATTGGACCAGTGAGTTGCGGTGCTCATGATGTGTGCACAATGTTTAATGTTAGCACACGTTACACTTGCTGAATTTGAATTTGTAGGCTTGGAGTTGGAATTTGGATATGTTGGATTGTTTGGATTGGGATTGTTGGTAGCTGGCTGGTGGTCATGTATAGGTATAGGTGCCCGTGTATTCAATGATGGTGATGGGGATTATTTAGTAATGAAGTGTTGGAATTAAAGTTTTGCTGAGGTGGAACTTGATGATTTGACTGTTTAATGTATTTGTACCAGCCTGTTGTTTTCCTTACAGTTACATCTGTAAGTCAGTATGTTAACTAGGCTTATTCTAGGCATGATGTCACGGCGAATTTGGATGACGGTGCTTGACATGCGCGACTCTTTTGACGGTTTTGTGTGCCATATGGTGGAATTGCGTATGCACAATCGGTTTACAACTGTGGGACATTGGATAACCTACCAATGCGGTCCAACACCTACCCGGAGGGTCCCTTGGTGCCCTTGGACGTGTTTGGGGTCTGAAAAGAGGTTGCAGACCTAGGCACTTGGACGCTCAGAGCTACCAATGTGGCCACGCGACGCGCAGCCAAAGTGCTCAGCTGTGCACGGAATGCTCCGCGCAGACAAAGCCAGGGGCCTTTCGATGGCCATGGCAGTTGGCCAAAGATCGCATCTCATGACTCTTCAGCGCCCAAGTTTCAAGGTTTCAAGAGGAACCCATCACAAAAGCAGGGGAAGAACAGGCGGACAGAGGTCCAGTCTCAAAAAGACTTGCTCACAGACACGGACGCCCGGGATGGCTTTACGGCGAGCTGTGCCGGGGGCCCCAGGCAATTGTGCCGAGCTTGAGCCCACTCCCAGCCAATACCTTCGGGGCATCTGGGGCTTTCTGCCGTCTGCACAAGGAGTCCGTGAGTCTTGTTTGGTGAGTTGGGATATGGGGCGCGACTTGACCATAGGCGTCTAGTCGTCCTTTTTGGCCTGGTTGAGAGAATTAGAGGGCGAATCCTGGTTTACCTGGTGCTTCAATCATAGGCTCGTCTATCTTCCAAAAAGGGCACTTACATAGACTTCACATACAAAAAATGCACATGTCAGGAGGGAACAACTTGCACGGCATGCGACCTGAGCCACGGAGCGGGCTTAGGCAAGATGATGATGTCGAGAGCCAGCAGGCGACTAAAGACGACGAGTCCTACGCGGCGGCGCTCTGAGTCTCGTGGCGCACGCTGACGAGGTATGTTTCGAGTGTGCTGATAGGTGGGCGGTTTATTGAGGCGATCTGTTCAGACGGTGCCTCGTGTTTCCCCTTTTCGTGGCTTTCAATTGGCGTATGGACCGTAACGTGAGTTTCGAATGTGGGTGGGGTGATGGTTGTCCAGCAGAGAATCAGGGAACCCTGGCTCCAAGCATCAGGTCCCTTGCTCCCCGCTGTTTCGACCAGCCCAGATAGATGAACACACCCACAGGGCTCATTTTGGCGCTTGGACACCTGGAATCTCAATGAGCCTTAAATGATGGGATGATCTATCAAACACACGGGGTCCTGCATGACCCGCTTTTTTTCTTCTTATGGTCATGGAGACTTCAATGTCAAGTACTTACTTTCTTTTTATGTGGAGGGCTCTGAAGGCATTCGCAGTCGAAATGTGCAACACCTGTGATTTTATATGCCTCTGCCCAACATGGTTTCCACTACGCCCAAAACCACTACAGGGTACAAGACGACGTACAGGGCCTCTACACATCAAATTCTCCTGTGGCTGTGGTTTGGGGGTAGTAAAATCCAGGTGAGTGACAATCGAAACTCAGGCAATCGGGGTCGTCGTAAGGGACAATCCCAGCCATGCAAATGGGTGCGGACCTGCACCTTTCCTCAATTCTTGTTGATACCGGGCTTTGATTGGCACTTTTGTGGCCTACCCTTATAGTAGGTAACCAACTATTTCCCTTTGGTCTTTAAAGGGTGGTTCCCTTGGGTAAAGGTAAATCTTTGGCGTGTCAGTTGCAACCTCAAGCCGGAACGATGGCCGAGGTTGGGCAAGTGACGATTCGAGTGCCGCGGCTCTGGCAGGTTTTTCAGATTTGATGTGATCCCAGGAAATCTGCAGTTGGCATACCTCGAGTCTCCTTCTGACCTTCTATTTGCAGAATGTGTTTTTGTTGTTCAACAAACAACAAACCTGGTTTTGAAGGGAATCGAATTCACTACTGGAAATGTTTGCTCATTGTTCCATCTGGCTTCGGCAATTGGAAGTGTCCCTTTGAACATGGGGTCAGTACAAACTCACCAGAAAGAGGTCTTGACCCCATGTTGAAGGAGCCTCCAGGTAGTGATGCCAACTGCAGCCACAGTAGGCAACCGGCAGGATGTTTTGCAGGATGTTTTTTTTATGGCTGCTTTCCACTTGCAAGTTGTGGGGGGGGGGGAATGGCCAACTTCTTGTGTGAACATGTTTAACTCGCCAGTGCTTAAGCAGCCTTCGTTTGGTTTCCTTGTTGAGGGAAGCCAAGGCCCGTTTTTGTTTCCCCTCTTAAAGGTGGCGTTTGCTTTTCGGGCAGGATGCTTTGATGTTCTGTACGCTTCCAATGCTTTTCAGGCATCCTTCCCAAGACATGGCCTAAGACCCAAGGGAAATATGTGATTTCTGAATAACATGGGTGACGAGAATGAGGGATCAACCTGCATAGCTGCATTGCATTTCCGGTGTTGGGTTTGGTTCAAGGGAACTCGTCAGATACAGATTCCTCAAATCCGCAAATCTCAGGTGCCAAGGGACCCCAAATGCTGGGCATCGCTTTCTTATTCACCGGAATTCTAACCTCTCTACTGGAGGACCCAGGGTCGCCAGATGCCAGCAGTCCGGTTTTCTCGAGCTCTTCGACGGCAGGCTGGACTGCCGGCCGTTGCCGCTGCTGGCCGTGATTGTGAGGCCAGATTTTCTCCTGGCTCGTGGCTCGTCGAAGGTTTCAAAGGAGGGGCCCCCCGAAAGAAGCGCAGGAATGGATAGAAGGCTTGGCTCCCACTCATCCCCTCAGCTTTTAAAAGCGCCTTTTAGTGTTTAGTGGTAGTTTTCATTTCACCCACCAAGAGTTAAACTTTCAGCGGGGGGATCTGAGGGCAGCCCAGAGGGGGGCTGCGGGAGACTTTTAATAACCAAATGAAGTTACAATCATGGGAGAAACATGTTGTTTGCAGCTTGGCCCTTGTTGGGCGATGTGTTTCCAATTGTCCCTCCAACGTTGGACAAGCATCGCCAAATGGTTTCCACCAAAGGTTCCCAATTCAGAATCTATTATTTGCCCTCTTCAATTGGGTTTGCTGTCTGTAGATGCTGGGGACCCGTTGGAAGAGCAAAGCAAAAAACACACACACCCGTGCCGTTTCGGTTCGGAAAGCCACCTGGGTCCAGGTCCAAGCAACAAAAACGCCATCCCAAGGACCCTCTTCCAAAGGTTTCAACAAAAAGGGTAGCCTCGAAAGTGTGGTTGTGGGAAGTGGGGTAGGGCCATGTTCTGTATCAAGAGAACCTTAAGGAATGTCAAAGTTGTCATGGGGATTGCCCACCTCATCACAATCCCAACAGGTACCCTTAAATGCTTAAATGGGGTGCTAAGCAGGCAATAAATTATCGATTCATGTGTTTTTGTTCCCCCCCCAAAGGGAAACCCAACAACAAAGAGGAATTTGTTTGAAGACTTACCTTGCATGTTTATTGTTTAGCCTTGTCGGCTTTCCATCATTTCCCCAAAGGGTCCAAGTTCCCCATGACTTTATGGTTTCGGGGTTGGCTCTTTCGGGATTCCTCAAATGCAGAGGTGCCAAGGGGCCCTTTTGGTTCTAAAGCCGACTTTTTCCATCTTTTCGGTTTTCCCGTTTTGGTCCATAGAGTCCCAAAAGGCGACTCCGCTATGTCAACATGGACCCTTGGAAGCAGCTCCACTTCCCGAGGAGAGGCACCAAATTGGGTTTGTTGGGTTCCATGTGAATCTCGCTTCCTAAGTTCCTGGACTCTAGTCAGTTCGTGGGAAGACCGTTTGAGTGGAAAGCAGGGAAATTCGGGCTTCTGTTTGGGCCATCCACTTCGGAAGTGACTTTGTACTTTTTTGGGGGAAACCGTTTTAGTGGCACGCCAAAAGTTTGGACTTGTTTTTGGCCAATCCACATCAGAAGTGAGGTTATGGTTGTTGTTGGGAAACATTTTGCATTTTTGCTTATTGTGGTTTAGTGGTTGAAATGCAAAACCACACAAGACTGCTAAAGTTTGATAATTGTTGCTCCCCTTCAACGTCAACCGAGTCTCATTCCCTGCGTCTCTCGCGCTGATCGCAAGGATTTTGCACCTTGAAGTTTCAGCCACCCTAAGGGTCATGACTCCTTCATTGCAGACTCCAGGACCCAAGTGAAGTGAGCTTCCAGATCCCAAAGGAGTGATGCCCTTCTCACGCCCGAGTTTCCTGCCCTGGGCCGTGCCGGTGGCGCTGATCGCGGACATTGCGCTGGAGAGGTGCGCTTGGTCGAGATTTGGCGAACTCGCGGGCGGCAAAAAGCTGGGGGACTCGGGCTTTCCGTACCCCCCTTGGCATGTGTTGTTTTTTTAATTGTTTTTTTTTTTTTTAAGTATACATATATATATATATAACCATGTTATTGTCTTAGCTGTTTTGTCTCTGAAGTGTTTTAGTTCTGCTGGTTTTTTAGCGGGTGATGGAGCACAGCTTGTTTGTCACATGTGAATTGGCCAGTTCCCAGGCGTCGCGAGCTGGGGGCATGCCAAGATTTCCAGTTGGCTTCGTGGAAACATGCAGATTTGTTGGCATGTTTTAGAAACCTGCTGTGTTGGTTCTGTTCATTTGTGTTTTTAGTAGGGGCTGGCAAAAAACAGAGTTTTGGCCACCACACCAAGGGTTGTAATTAAGCTGTAAGTATCTCCTTTAGGGAGTATCTTTGCTGGTGGGGTCATGTTCGGATGGCCAGACGCAGCCTAACTTTTTGCGCTTTTTTGGTGTTCCATCGTTTTGCCTTTCAACCAGCAACACGTGTGGTCAAGTGAAATGGGGAAATTATAGGGAAGGGGTCCGCGCCTTGGCAAGCTCACCGATCCGGGATCGGTGGTTTAAGCAGTTGAATGCATAATTCCTTGAAGGTTGGCGAGTAGTCGGTGCAGATTGGCGTTTCTAAAACCTTTACTCGCAACTTCATGAGGAACGTGGTCGGCAACTTGACCATCTTCCTTCTGTTGAGAAGCATGCTGGGTTGGTGAAGTGGAAACTTGGATGGCGTGAAAGGCAGAAGACCTCACCATTTTTCATGGTCACTGTATGTCATTGTCTGTTGGCTGATAAATGCAAAGACCCATCGTCCCAGCCGGTGGATGGGTACTGTACCGAAAATCGGGAAGTTATGTCGGGGACAAAGGCAACCTCACCAGTTAGAGAGCTCCCCTATTTCAATACACGCACAACCGGGTGCGAGCTTTTTTTTCGAACCTATTTGTGGTTTTAAAGGGAAACAAACAGGACGCCACGCATTTGGGGTCTTGCTATGAGACAACCCAAATATTAATATTGTCACCAGAATCTACTAGTCTTCCAGATTTCATTAATCAAAGGAAGTTTAGAAGGAACTTCCGTGTTACGGCAACTAATTGAAAGCTAGCTGTCTGAGACAAATGACAAGAGAAGGAATACGCCCGCGAGAAAAAATGCGCGCGCGTGTGGCAGGGGAAATGTCGCAAAAAACGTGGCCCTGTGCGTAAATCGGCGTTTTCGGAGATGAGAAAGTCGCAAAAAGCGTGGCGCTGTGCGTGAAGTGGCGTCTCCGGAGACGCGAAAGCTAGCCTGTCCGCGGCGTCTGGTCGGAGCGGGCTCGGAGCATGCTCGGAGCGGGCTCGGAGCGGGGTCGGCGCCGGGCCCATTGGCACGGCAACGCAGAGGTTTCGCAAGGATTGAATTGCGTGGCAGGCGCAGCATTTTGGTGAGGTCGGGTGCAGATTTCGTGGCAGGCGCAGCACTTTCGCAAGGTCAACTTTTCTCAATGCTTGAATTGCGTGGCAAGCGCAGCACTTTCGAAAGGTCAGGTGCAGATTTCGTGGCAGGCGCAGCACTTTCGCAAGGTCAAGTACATATTTCATGGCAGGCGCAGCACTTTCGCAAGGTCAAGTGCCAAATTCGTGGCAGGCGCAGCACTTTCGCAAGGTCAATTACAGATTTCGTGGCAGGCACAGCACTTTCGCAAGGTCAACTTTCGCAGCCGGGGCTCGAAAATCGCAACTTTTAAGTACGAAAGTAGTGCGTGAAGTCCACTTTCGCAGCTGGGGCTTGAAAATCGCAACTTTTAAGTACGAAAGTAGCACGCGAAGTCCACTTTCGAAGTGGGGCTTGAACATCGCAACTTTTAAGTACGAAAGTAGTGCGCGAAGTCCACTTTCGCAGCTGGGGCTCGAAAATCGCAACTTTTAAGTACGAAAGTAGTACGCGAAGTCCACTTTCGCAGTGGGGCTTGAAAATCGATAAACAGATAGAGAGATAGCTAGAGAGATAAATAGAAAGAGAGATAGAGAGAGAGATACATAGATAGATAGAGAGAGAGAGATAAATAGATAGATAGAGAGAGAGAGAGAGAGAGAGCGAGATAGATAGATAGATAGACAGAGAGAGAGAGATAAAGAGATAGAGAGATAGATAGATAGAGATAGATGGATGGTAGATAGATGGATAGATAGGTAGAGAGAGAAAGATAGAGAGATAAATAGAGAGATGGATAGATAGAGAGATAGAAAGATAGGTAGATATATAGATAGATAGAAACATAGATAGATAGAGAGATGGATAAATACGCGAGAGATAGAGACATAGATAGAGAGAGAGAGATAGAGAGATAGACAGATCAAGAGAGAGATAGATAGATAGGTAGATGGACAGAGAAATAGATAGATAGATAGATAGATAGATAGTTAAATAGATAGACTAGGTAGATAGCTAGATAGACAGATAGAGAGAGAGATAGAGGGATAGAGAGATAGATAGATAGAAAGGGGCAGAGATAGAGAGATAGGTAGATATATAGATAGAGAGATAGAGAGATAGATAGATAGATAGAGAAGATAGATAGAGAGATAGATAGATAAGCAGATAGATAGCTAACACGAGAGATAGATAGATAGGTAGTTAGGTAGATAGATAGGTAGAGAAAGGTAGATAGATAGATAGATAGACAGGTAAAAAGACAGAGAAGAGACAAAAGAAAGAACAGCACAAAAACAAGCAAACGAAAGAAAGAACAGACAGATAGAAAGAAGGAAAGAAGGGAGGAAGGAAGGAAAGAAAGGAAGAAAGGAAGACTGACGGAGAAAAAAAGAAACAATGAAAAGGAAGAAGAAGAGAAAAATAATCAAGAAAAGAAAGAGAAAGAGAACTATAGTTTTTATATTTTTGAAACTTTCGCCCACCGGCTTTGCCGACTCTACTGGTAGCAGTGATGGTTGGTTTGCCCTACTGGCGACTTTTGCTGGATTTGTGAGATCCGTGCAGGCACTCGCAGGTGCTTTGTTTTTGGTGCGCAATCCCAGCCGGCTTCGAGGGTTGTCTTTTTGACAGCCGGTACGGAGCCAAAGGGACGCCTGAAAGAGGGCATATGTACCTTTTTTGTTTCCGCCCAAAAGCTCAACAGCAAGGTCAGCGTTTTCACCTTCGGTGCGTCCGAATAGTTTGTCGTCACACGACCGCTTTTCAAGTTGTCTACAAGGGCAACGGTCGCTTTAGGATGCTTTAGGGTTTCCGTTCAGGTACCCTTTGAACGCGGCTCACAAGCCATGTTGAGAACCTCCCAGCCCCAAAGAGTCCCTTGGTATCCCCTGTATGGGTGTGTCTTCTTGGCCTTTGTTTTGTTCGGGGATGTCCCAAAGTAGTGGTTCTCCTTGAAGTTTCCGTTTAAAACCACAAAAAAGGGGTATCCTCCCTCCCACTAACATGGCACCTGACAGGGGGCCCTACAAGAGGAACATGCTCTTCCACCTCACGCAGGTTCTATGTTTGTTGGAGGGAGGGTACTCTAGCAAACGTGACACACCCATACTAGGTCCCCCAGTTCCCCTTCTTTTGGGGAGGGTTTGTCTGGTACAATAGACTGCAGTAAAAAGGGGGCACCCTTATTCTAACCTCTTCACTGGAGGACCTAGACATGATACACCAATATCAATATATATCTATATTTATATATTTATTTACGCTTGGTCCTCGGGGACGCAGGAAACGCGGCCGTTTCGCAGGCGAGCCATCAGCTTGTTCGCCTTCACGGCTGTCCGTAGCTTAGCGGCTGACGCCACCGCCATAGTAGGCCGCGTTTTTGTTGGAAAGATTCCTGAAGATTTTTCTTGTTGGTTTCTGTTTAGGGAAACCTGTTCTTTTGGGTCGGTTTTATTGGGGGGTTGTGTGTAGGGAAACCTGTTCTTGAGGGTTTAACGGCGATTTTTTGATTGGACACGCCATTTTGGTGGTCTCCTACAAAAGGACAAGCCCGCAAAGGGTCCAGGTACTTACCCCATATCTGCGGTTTGCTTGGCTCAAAGGAATTCACCTACAGAATCCCCATATCCGCACATATGACGCTGGCAGGGCCCAAGAACCCCCGCGATGTTTGTGAGGAGGTTGGTTCAAGTGGTCTCCTGTTGAGTTGAGCGAGGCACTCGACACCGGCCTTGTGAGTTGTTGATCATGCACTCATGCTGCTATTTAGGGAGATGCGACTGCTTTTAAGGGACACCTCAAAATGTAGGTTCTCTTTTGGTTGGCCTTAAAGCCGCATAAAAGACGAGGTACCCTGAAAACAGACGCATGAATCTGCTTCTCTGCCCAAAACACTGTAAGTTTCGGATGAGCACCGGCCCTTGATGGATAGTTCCCTGCGAGAGAACCCTGCACTTGTGCGGGAACATCCTTGGTCTTTTTATTGACCTGTGAGCAGACGTGTCCTGTTTAGTTTGTGTTTTTTTGCTTAGAAATCGATAGGACTGGTTTAGATTGGTTTCATTCCATCTACCAGGGCCATCGATTTTAATTGCCAAAAGGATGCCTATGCCCGTGCCCATAAATCCGGCGCCAACAAGCTTATGGCCATCCGAGTCTGGCGACATACCGAAACAGAGGAAGACAAGCATACTGTGGATGGTTGTGACTCGTCCACTTCGCACCACTTGAAAACCATGGGAAACCATAACGTCTGTTGGTATGTACAAGGGAACCGGGCCCAGTCCCGGTTTCTTCGGTGGTGCAGGATTTCGTTTTTCCGCGTCATGAAAAGGTAGGCGTTGGACAACTGAGACACGTTTTTGCTTGAAAGGCGAGCCAAAAGGGTACCTAAATCACCTCCTCGGACTTGAGGAATCTGTATGTGGCGAATTCCCCAAAGAAGCAAACCCTGCCCCAGGACACATAAAACCGTCCAATGAATTGGAGGGGGGCCCTAAAGTGATGACTCCCTAACCCAAGGGACCCCCGCTTAAATCGCTTAATCAACTGGGGTTGAAAAATCCGGGGTCAACATCATTGGGATTTATGTCGCCATTTTGTTAATCCGATATCCCACTCTTTGGCATTTGGGATTGAGAAAGCCGCCACCAACCCAAAAGGATGTTCTGTTTTCAGCTGCTTCGAAAGGAAGTTTTCTTGTGTTTCCTTCTGTGTCACCAGCTGCGCAATCGGAAGGTCGGTTCCAGGGAACATTGAATCAAAACAGGGAACATTGAATCAAAAGAAGGGGGCCAGCCTGTTGATGTTCAAAATAGTGAGTGGCCTAGAAAGCGGCTCTTCTCAGTGGGACACGAGGGGTTGCTTCACCAACAGGACCATGGCGATATCTGAACCCAGAGTGTCCAAGTACATTCCATGCACATGTTCGGGGTATCCGCAATGTACCCGGTATCCTTAGGACAACCAAACAATCCACTCTCCGAAATAACCACTTAACGTTTGGCTACAACCTGTGTTGGGGTAGGCAAATCCTCACAAGGTAGCAAAAGAAACCCTTGGGGTAACGTGTTGTTGTTGAGGACCCTTTTCGGGTGGATGAAAGAGATATACAAAAAAGCAAGCAGATTCGAGGGCCACCTATTTCAGAAACACTGATTCTCCATCGGGGAAAAAGCACTTCATGTGCAAAGTTCCCAACCGCATCTTAATTGCTCAGCCCTCCCCAAATGGGGTGTGGGTCAAAAGTAGGGTAACCCCAAAAAGGCTTGCCCTGGTAAATGGAAACAAAGACCTGCGGTCCGTATCCTGCTGGTTGAATTTTGACCCATACCCAAATGGATTGAATCGTGGCTCCCATTTTCCCGAACCCTTCCAAACCCGAGATCCTGGTGACGAGCCTGGTGTGCGAGGCATCTGAAAAGGGTCGGGGGGGAGGGTTAGAATCCCCAAAAAGGGCTCGCTTTGCAGGGGGTTGGGTGGGCTTTCTACCTGGAGTCTCCTTCTGACTCTGTGAAAATGGGCCCATGACCAACCATTATTTTGGGCAATGCCCCCCATTTTGTAAGGGCCATGGAGACTCCAGGTACGTCCTGGGAACCCCGGAGTGATACACATAATGAGCCCGTTGCAAACAGAAGGAGTTGGCACTTCGTTTGAACTTGAGGAAACGTGGGTGCCGCGGGTGCTTGACAAGTAGCTGATCTCCTAAATATTGGGTGAGCCCATGATTTTGGTTGGTGCTTAATTTTGTCTTGCTGATTGCCTCGAATGTGTTAACGTTCTGATTTTCCTGTCCCCCGTCCAATATTTCGGCCGGAAGGGGGTTACGTGGGGCTTGGGCATTTCAAAAAGCACAACGGTTCTACGAGCGGAAGCCTCTTTGCTGTAGATTGATCACGAGAGCCATCGGCTCGAGTTCTTTGGGGGGAGCTTTTTGCTCCAATTGCGGGCCTGTGGGGGGAGGCGAGGTTGTCACATTTTGGAGCTCAATTTGAGGAAGTCACTTTCATGGACCCCGTTTTTTCTTTTTCTTGCTGGTGCTCAGTAGGGAATGTGGGAATGAACGCAGGGATTCTCTTAACGGAAACCAACAGTGGGATTCCATTTCTCATTCCCTGCCTATCGCACCAGCAAGTTGTTGCCAAGTCGCGGAAGAAAGACAGCTCTCCCGCGCCAGTGGGGATTGAAGCCTCTGATCGGGGAGCCTCGACCGCCAACATCTGCATGCAGGACCCTGCGAGTCGGGTGGTGCGAGCTGCATGGGGAAGACACAAGGTGACTCACCCAGTAGTCCACTGTTTTTTCCAGCAGCATGACCCAAGAATTGTCCCACCCCCCATCAAATGGCTTGACAAAAGCAAAGCTGTGCAGACAAGAGGAGTCCCCCAGAAAGGGCACAAGAATGGCTGGTTTGTTTTTTGTGCTTGCTCTCTTTTTGCAAATTTCGGGGGGTTCCCCAAAAAATCGAGCCAAAACCCTGCTTGAAGGCTAGTTGCGAGGCCGACCAGTTTAGTACGCATGTTTGGTGCGACGCCCATATCTAATCGCGGGGCAATCTGCCACATCGAATGATTCGATCGCAGGGGGCTTGTCCAAGACGTCATTGATGTTTCGTCCCCCCAAAAAAATGGAACCTGAAAAGCACCCCCTGTTACAACCATTTTCCTCTACCTTTCAGGATCCATCTTTGTTTTTACAGGGACCTCTGGATTCAAAGCTGCGGGCATTCAGCTGCTTTTTTTTAAGGGGTGCTCAACAGCTCATTGTTTAAACCTCCATAAGCGAACCACAGGCAAAGTACCCGAGTACCTCCCAACATAGCACCTGACGGAGGGTCCCTTGGAGAGGAGATGGATCTTCCTGGTACCCTTCCACAAATGCTATGCTAGAGGGAGGGAGGACAATACTTCATTTTTTCCGGACCTAGTAAACACCAATCTGAACAAGCTCGCCGATCCGGGGGTGAGGGTGTCCCGCGTTTGCGGACACGTTCGCGAGGACGGAAGACGGCAAGCTCCTTCCGGGCATGCCATCTGGCCACGTCATGCAGCGAGCTTAGATGCGAGTTTCAAATTGATCACTTGAAGCAGCGTAGTAGCCTTCGCTATGTGTGTCCCATGCTTTAAAAACGCTTGGATGTGCTTGTTTGCTTGTGTTTTTGTGTGCTTGGGTGCTGGTGTGCGTGCGTGTGAGAGTTCTTGTTTGTTCTTTTGTGTGTGTGTGTGTGCGTGTGTGTTGCATGTGGTGGACATTGTGTGTGTGTGTGTGTGTCTTTGTTTGGGTCTTAGTATCTTTGTGTGTGTGTGTCTGTGTGTCTGTGCGTGTGTGTGTGTGTGTCTGCGTGTGTTTGTGTGTTTGTGTGTTTGTGTGTCTGTGTGTGAACGTTGTGTGTTCCATGTTTGTCCTCGCTCTCTCCCTCTCTCTTATGTTTGTGCTTGCCCTGTATTTCAGCGTATATGCATTCTGTGTGCGTGCATATATATATATATATTTATATAATGTATACGTACATATATATATATATGTATATACATATATGTATAAGTATATGTATATATATAATTATATGTTATATATAGATGTGTTTTCTCTCATCTATTGTTGTCTTGTGTGTTTGTTTCATAGGGACTGCGATTTGTGACTAAAGGAACGAGAAGCAGGATGATTACATATCATTTTCGGACTTAGTCCTTCGCACGTCTCTTGTGCCCAGGGACTCATGTGATTTGACACAGGGAAACACAGCTGTGGTTATCGGCAGGCAATTGGCAGGCTTGCCCAAAGCAACATTCAACTTCGGATTAATCCGGGGGAACGTACTCAGGGATGGTTCCCTTTTGGCAAGCACTGGATCTGTTTTCGGGGGGGGGGTTCCTCTGACTAAGATCCTTGTCAAAATGTGAAGATAGCCGCTGGAGGGGAACCACTTGGTTTAAACGTGCTAGTGTTTGCTTTCAACAGTTTTGGTTTCCACGGGTTTGGTTGAAAGCTGTTTACCATGTTACAGTGGAATGGGACTCCCAATCGTGAACAAAAAAATGAGGATGTGCCAGAGCATGCTCATTTTCTACATGCTGGAGGCGGGGTTCCCAAGACTGCGCCTCGTGTCTCTTTTGTTTGAGGGTACCCTTTTGGGCAATTTGCCTAGCCCTGGCAAAGCGCTAGCATGGGCCGGGCAGTGGCGTGCCAGCATGCATTCATGGATGCATTCATTCGCTCGTACTGTCTCCACGAGTGTCCTGAGTTGCTTTCTAGTGACCCCACGTCTTTGTAGGGCCGCTGTGTCCCTTGTTTGTGATCGCGCACGGGCTTTCTCCAGTACTGTCCTTGTTTAAGTTTGTTTTCTAGCGGGGGCGGCTGCCCCCCCCTCCGCTTCTTTATAGGGCTGTTGTTCAGCTTTCTGATCCTTGCGCGCATCTTTCTCCATTATAACTGTATTTATTTGTTTTCCAATGGGGAGCTGCGCCACCCCCCCCCAAGCTCCCCTAAACCCACCCTGCAATTATCCGAAACCCACCCCCCTAAGCCCGCCCTTGGCCCACCCTTGACCGACCCGAAGCGTACCACAAACCTAGCCTAAACCTATCCTAAGCCTACCTGAAGCCTACCCGAAACGCACCCTAAATTGTAGATGTGTGCACCAGGCGGTGCCAGGGTTAGGCGAATGCCAGGGCTAGGCCAAAAAACAACACCTCAGAGAGGAAACCATTTTTCTGGGGATTGTTTCAAGGGGAACCCAAAAGGAAGCCCGAAACCCATTTTGGGGGGTCCCCCCCAAAGGAGAATGGCTGTGCCGTTGTTTTTGGGTGTTGCTGCTTTTTTGTGGTTTTAATGGAGGGGTCCATCTTGAGAGATTCCATCTTGTCATTTAAGATATTTGTTCTTCTTGGTGCTTGTAGAGGGATGTATCCTACTGCGAGGTTTTCAGAATTCTTGTTTGAACGCTGAGGATCTTAGGAGTTGTCTTCGAGGGGCTGGATGGCCGAAATGTGAAACGAAGCGAAGGGTTTGATTGGCAAGCCTCCGCAAAAGCGGGGGTGGTTTGTTGGAGGGTACCTTTTTGTTGTGGCTTTAAAGGGGAACGAAAAGCAGAACCCAAAAAATTAGGGTACCCTCTTTTGAGACACTCCCAAGCAACTAGGCCCCCCTGGTTTTTGCAACGAGCCCAGAGCGTGGTACACAAACACACCCCCGCGGTTTCTCACCAGCATACAGAAGCAGAGAAAGTCTGAGGACAGGACCCTCCATCCCACGAGCTGGGTGAGCCTTAAATTGTTGATGACCGTTCCTGACAGTCAATCATACCGCGCTGTACATATGGTATCTATAAATATATATATATATATATGTATATGTAATATACCCAGAGTCTGCATGACCCTTGAAACATGGGGTCGTGACTCCTTATTTTGGGTAGATGGGTCATTCAGACTCCACGGTAGGTATCCAACGGCTGCATCACCACATGTGTGTGTGTAATTCTAGGACTCTTCGTTGGATTTGCCTTCCATTGTGCCGAAAAAGATGTTCCCCCTCCTGGTTTCCGCTTGCACACAAGGGCCAGACTCAAACTAAGGGGCTGGTATAGACTTGTATCTGGGGGATTTCAACTAAACTTAGGCATTTGGCTCACATATATGATGATGCTGGTAATTGTTCGAGCAAGCCAACCGGATGCCTGTGAATCAACAGACACCTTGAACTCGCAGATCCGATCCAAACAAATCCGACATAGGTTCCTTAGCTCGCTACGGCTTTTCTGAGATGTGGGACCTCTTCGGTGTCATGTGCGCATAATTGTTATGGGGATGACTCGAATGGTCATTCACATGGGGATGCATGCCCACCCACCATGCTTAAGGTTGTTTCCGGTTAACATGCCCAAGTACCTTCTCCGGATGTGGTTGGGATCACAAGGACCCGTAGTGGACCCTTAGCGATTCATGCTGACTACTTCATCATTGGGATTCATGTCCACACCATTTTTGTCGTTCAAAGGGTTAACATTCATAGCCAGTTGGGAAAAATTAGGGGTTTGTGTTTGGATGTTTTGAGAGGAAACCAAAAGGGAAAACACTGAGCTGGAGCTCCGAATTTGAGGGGTTCACACATTTGGGTTTGTGTCATATTTAAAGAGTCAGAAGCACCTATGATGTTGTTTCGGGAACTCCAAAGAAACCGGCTGCTGTGTCGTTTTTCTTATACCCAACGACTTGTTGATCGCCCAGCAAATCGCCGGAAAGCTGCGAGTCGCGAATCGCGAATCGGACAGTCCATCCATCACCATGCTCTGATGGCCCGGCTGCCTAGAGCCAGTGGGATCTGCCCGCGATTCGGTTTCGCTGGAGATGGCGAAGGGATTGGTTGTGTTTGTTGTGTTTGTTTGTTTTTTGGGGGAGGGGGACCCCTTTTGGGGGTTAAGTTGAAGGGGAACCAAAGACAAAACCAACAAAACACGTTTGGAGGGTGCCATATTTTAAGACGCAATTGAATGACCTCAAAGAGAAGCCACACACAGGCGAGAGACCTTGGAGTCGGACTGGTAGGGTCGTTGCAGGTAAATATGGGTCATTGTTGAGGTTTCACCCAACTAGGCATATTGCGCAGAAGATCTGAAGGCAGACATGCACGTGGCAAGCCCGAAGATAGGTGCCGATAGCCGCTTCAGAGACTTCACACAAGTGATTCTGCAGCAGACCATATAGTTTAGAGCCTTCAAGGGTACACACACAGCCGGAGCAGAACTATCACCTTCCTATCTGGTTTCCTTTTGAGCTTTGGGGGGTACCTTCACCATTGGGTTCCGTTTCGTTGGGCTTCACATCCCCATTCAGGTGCCTTGCTGCTTGGCAGCTCCCTGCGAGCCCCTCAGCTTCTCTTAGATCTTTTTAGTGCTTTGGGATTTCCCCTGCCATCCCAAGAAGTTTTTTTGGTGTTCAGTGTTTCGTCCCTGGGGATTTCCCACTAGAACCCGCTAAATCTGCCATTCCAGAAAGCTTCTCTAAATGTTCAGTGTTTCCTTTGGGGATTTCCCACATTTCACCCCCGAAAAGGTTTTTCGCGGCCTCCTTTACGCTTGCCACATGCTTGCCACCACCTTTTCCACCAGCAAATGTTGACCTCGGCAAGAAGGCAGCGTAGGTCGATCTGAAAAGCGGACGGACCGCCCGGTGTGTGAAACACCGCAGGTGGCGGTGCTGCTGATCCTCGCCATGCCGGCCATGCCTTGGGCACGCCAGGGGCTCACTCGTTTAGATGGACGGGCGGAGTCTCCAAGTTGGGATGAACACATCACCGAAGTTCCTGGTAAATAAATGGTGTGTTCTGTACACACCCGAGCCAAAAGGACTTTGAACACTTTTTGGGTTTGGATCAAATTTTGGTGGGGCACAAACCGTTCGATTTTTTTTGGGCCAGTGCGCTCAGGAAATTTTCGGATCAAGCCCTTTGCCATGGCCGGTTTCAAGCACTTGCTGCTAGTGCTTGCTCTTCCCGCCCTCTTTTGCCCGGCTGCAAGCTCCGGCGTGGTCCGCCCAAAACTTCCTCAGTCCGGAGCTCCATGGGCAAGCACCATGCGACCGACCCCAAGGCCCGGAGCAGTTGCGTTTCACCCAACATGGACGGATTCCCAGCACGGAGCTTTAGCTTCGCCTTCGCGTTACGGCTCACTCGGGAGAGCCTTTTTCGAGATCGAGACGGGGAACATTCGAACTGCCAGAACTAGCTGTGTTTGTTTGTTTGTGTGTTTGTTTGTTCGCTTACTGGCTTGCTTGTTTGCTTGCTTGTTTGTTGGTTTGTTTGTTCATGTATGGTTGCTTGCTTGTTTTTTTTTTTTTTTGTTTGTCTTTTGTTTTTTTTGTTTGTCTGCCTGTTTGTTTTGTTGTTTGTTTGTTTGTTTGTTTGTTTGTTTGTTTGTTTGTTTGTTTGTTTATGTCGATGAGGCAAACCTCCGCGGGGCGCTTGGTGCTTTGTTGGACTGCCTGCAAACCATGATGTCGCCCATCTGAGGTTGGTACAATGGTGACCACACCGTGAAGCAGGCCGCCAGCTGTGCTTTGGGCCATTCAACGCTTTGCTATTGCCTCCCCTTGTCCGACCGGCAAATTAAAAGAATTATTTCGGCGGTTGGCCTGTTTTTGATTTTTTTTAGGACCGAGTTGTTTCAGCATGTTTCCATGTTTTTCAGCACCTTGCCCCAGCTGATGGGTCCGCTCTTTGTTGCTGCACAGTGTGTGAGCTGTGTGCAGTGTACGGTTTTGCTGTTTGCTTGGGGTTGCGCATGTCACATGTTTGTGTGTGTGTGTGTGTGCGTGTTGTGCAACCGTGCTTATCAGATGCAGTCCGGCCCGCGCGAACGATGCTCGTGTCTTGTTCGTGGATGGCGCTTGTTGAGAGGATCATCTTGGATGAGTGTGCATTGGGTGTGTGAGCGGTTTGCCTGAAGTATCATTGCAATGTTTGGGGCTCCATTCGCCCTTGGGCGGTGTACAATTGGCCTTGTGTGTGTGTGTGCGTGCCGAGAGATTTCGCGCTGCCAGGTGGCAGGTGTTCTTTTTTCAGATGTCGGACAACAGGCAAACATGAAGCCGTGAGTTGTCTGTGTTGCTCATTTGTTGGCTGGTGTTTTTTTTGTTGGCGTGTGTATGTTGGCCAAAGAGTTGGCACAGTGCATGTCCCATCTTGTTTGCTGGGCTGGTGGCCATGCAGAGGCCCGGCGAAAAGGATGGTCCAGCTTCAGCATCGGCCATTTAGGCTTGTCTTTTTGTAGAGGACCCCCAACATTGTGGTTTTCCTTTTTTGTTTGCCTTTCAATCAACAAAACATGGGTACCATCAAGCATCAACACCCATTTCATGTTTGCTATAGATATGAAGGCTATGAAATAGAACAGGATCACTTGGCAGTTTGTTTCAAGGACGGACCTCATAACTTTTGGAGCAAGAATTGCTGCACTTCAGTTTCCAAGCTATTTTTTTGCAAGAGGCTTGAGAGCAATTTCAGCATCCGCAAACCCGAGGAACCCCAAAGGACACTTTAGCTTGGAATCATAAGATTGCTCCGGGGGGCGTGAAGTGTCTATCTACCTGACCCTTGTGGTTTTTGGAGGTGTGGTGCCAGGGACCCGTCTCTTCCGGCATACCTTGTGCTGCAGGTGGTGGTCACATTCCTTGCAGCGTCTTTGGTAGGCCGCGGCCTTTGGCGGTTGTGCGTTTGTTTTTGTGTTCGTGGACGGCGAGTTGGAGATCAGATACCCCCCAGTCAGCACTTAGATTCGGATTGGAATCCATGGTTCTTGTAGAGGGTAAAATGGGAGACTGTCCTTAACCACCTAAGCCACCAATTAGAGGGAAACTGAGGAGAGTCTTTGGATACCACTTTCATGAGTGGAACATTCGCCACGAAGGCAACATTCGTCACGAATGGAGTTGTCACCTTGATTGGGATAATTTATCAACCACACATGGATTTCTGACCTGCGTTCCCTGCATTTTCTCAAGGATCTGACCACAGGTGAGCAACACGAAATGTTATCTTCCTTGATCTTCAGAAACCTCATCGTTTAATATAAGGATCGCAATAGGTAGAATGGGGGTGGTGGGTACTGTAACTGTAGGAGTGTACTATTAGTAGAAAGTTAGCCCCAGATATTGCAGTGAGTTTTAGCGGTTACAATTCTTAATTGGCTGGGAGTTCCGCTAGCTGTTCTCAGTTACAAGAAACAGCAGAATGGGGACCATGAGAGACATGATGAAGGCTAGGATTGTTTTTGCCATGGTTGTGCAAGCTACGAACAAATATGCCAATTTGAATCTGTGTCGAACACGTTGCGGGAAGAGAGCACGGGGATGCAAGGCACTAGTTTCTTGACCGCCCCAGAACTTGTTCTTGCGGGCTCCGAGATCCCAAGTAGAATTTCCCCCGCAGCGGTGCAAAGCCAAGCTTTATACATACATATTAACTTTCCAGTTGAGACACTCTGTCCACTTTACATGTTCACTCGGGACACGTTGATCTTCGGTGAACCCCTGATTTGTCTTAAAGCTGCTAATTTCTGAGCGACATGATGTTTGGCAGGGAGTCACTGTCCATTCCTGTACCGGCATTCTGTGCAACTCCAAGACAGTTTCCCTGGCTGTTTGGGGATCATTGACGAGAGGGGACGCTTTGTGTTTGACACGACGACTTGTGACCGAACGATCTGGCGCCGCTATCAGCGGTTCTTGTGCGTCTTGCAGTCTTATTTTCTTCAAACACGGCAAATCTGTTTGCAGCTTCGTTGCCGCAGAATGGCCCGCCTGGGCGGATCCATGGCCTAGGCCTGGTGGATTACTTGATTTTCCTGGTACTCTTTCAAGACAGCCAGGCCCTTAGAGCCGAGACTTGGCCCTCGGCGGGTGGATTTCGCCGAGTTCGGATGTCTACAATTGGTTGTTGGGTACCACACAGGACCGAGTTGATAGTTCTTCCTGGTCCCCGTGTCGTGGCTCCAAGGAAGGGGTTCGCCCATTTCCGCTGTCCTCGGCCATTTAGTTTTTTGCGGAGGCTCAATGCCGCGTTCAGTTTGGAAGAGCCAGGGCGGTCATCATTGGTTCCTTCGTCTCAGTTTTGGATCTCCACAAAGTTGGAACAAGATCCGACGGATGAGTTTCTCGTCCTTTTTGATTTTGGGACACACCCATGCGGGTGTGTCTTTTTCTCAGGGCACCCCTTTCGTATGAATTGGAAGGGAAACCAAAAGAGAAGCAAGTACAGATGCACACACACACAGACACACACACACACACAGAGACACGCAGAGACACACAGAGACACGCAGAGACACACACACACACGATTCACACACGTATAAGTTGTTTGTTGCACGTGATTGCCCAGAGACCGCATCCTCCAGATAACGGTTTAACTTGTTGCTATGGTGTCAACCACTGCGGATGGAATACGTAGGCTTAGGAATTCCCCCCCCCCCCCATATAGAACAGCTCAGTCAAAGGTCAGGGTCCATTTTTGGATTACCCCAAGGTCGATTGAAACTCAGAGACGAGTAATTCTGCAGGCCAGAGTCTTCCATACCGGGATCACCTTCACGGAGTCAGGATGATTGTACTCTTGCTGGGGTGCTTATGATGGAAATCGGAAATCCGAACGGTAAGCCGACCAGTTACAAAACCGCAACTCACGTGCAACCGAGCTTCCTCATAATTTCCTAAGCGGGCTGCCGGCGAGCCGATCTCTCCCCAGGCTCTGGCACCTTCGGGCAGCATGTCAGGGACCCGAGGGGCTGGGGCCGGTTGGTGGATCCGCCCATTTCGGGGGAGGGGGCAGATTTCTGGGCAGTGACTGGGGGTCACTTGAAGTGAACGTCCTTTGCATCAGATCCCTTAAATTCTCAGATTTTTCCACTTTTGCGCGGCTTTGGTTCTTCTGGTAGCCATCATTCAGAGGTGAGTTTTGGGGATGCCACTTTGGTGGATCCAGATGAACCGCTTCCAAGAAGCTTCATTCGGAAAAAATCGGCTCCCTCGCTCGCAGGAAGTCAGGCGTGAGGAACGGATCGGCGTGACCCGGGTGGCTTCCTTTGGGCGGCCGGGGGTGGGGGGGCTGACCAGAACTACTGTGAGGAATGAATCACAGTTGCGTGATCCGCCCGCAGTATATGGATATTTGAACTCCAGCATGTCCTGACAACACGTTTGATTTGCCGCTTTTGCCAGCTGTTGCGTTTCCACATTATGTGCATGTGTTTGACTTGCTTCTGCCGGCAAAGGATCATGCCCCGGACTTGACTTTGTGCTGCCATGAGCAAAAGCTCATCACGAATTGGCTCGGCTCAAAGGCCACGCCCATTTAAAATTGGAGTGGAGCCTTGGGGTGACCCTTCCCCCTTAGAGGAGCAGCCCCCCCTGGGCTCTGGGGTGACCAGGGCTGTCTATGTTTCCCCTTTTGGTGGTTTTAAACAGCACCATTTGGGGTTTCAGCCAATGCTTGCTGCGTGTTGTTGAGAGACATGATGGCCCCTGCAAATAGGGGTTTGAAATTGGAATTTGCGGCCAACTGGGTCAGTGGTGAGGGTCTTGTCGGGTCTCAAGCATGTTTACCTAGAGGGTTGCGGTAGTCGGCCCAACCCTGCACAAAACCATTAAAAAATAGCAGCCCGAAAAAATGAACCACTGGTTTGCATACAAAAGACGGTTCAAAGAGGGTTGTTCCAGTGCAGGACATCTCGGAGTGATTCACCTGCCGATTCAGATCGGACCCCAGAAGGGGGGTCCGCCCAAGAGAGTCAGATCAAATGATGGACGCCTGGAGTCTCCTTCAGACCTCAACATGTACCCTACCCTTGAAAAGGGATCAACCTGGAGTCTCGTCCATGACCCGAATCAAAAATGGGTTCATGACCAACCATTATTTTTGGTTATGACCCCCCATTTTTAAATGGTCATGGAGACTCCAGGAGCCCATTTCTGAAGGCTCAAAAGGAGACTCCAGGATCGGAACATGTCCATTGGGTCTGTCTTTTTTTTGAGGGGGACCCCAAGAATGGCGGTTCTCCTGTCGGTTTCAAGTTTCCCCTTAAACCCACCAAAAAACGAGGTTCCCTCAACAAAAAGACACACCCATTGCGCTACATTTGCCATGGACCAAGGCGCTCCTCGCGGATTTGGGTCCTCCAGGCGCTTGGGATAGATCCCCAGTATGACTTAGTCGCATCGGGACCCTCAAAATACGTCGTGTTGCTTTGGTTCCTTTGTTGAGAGATCACAGACAGAAGGGAAAACCGGGAGTCCCAGACCTCCAGTTTTTGGCATTTGGTTGTGGAGGGTCCCTTACAAATTCAACAAAGAGGAAGCGACCGGTTTTTCCCATGGCCACTGGGGGTCTGGGGAATTCACGACCCCCCCCCCGCCCTTGGGGTTACATCTTGCATGAGACCACGCGGATTTGTCGGGTGCAACAACCCGCAATGCGCACCAACAACAAGCCACAAGCTGCCGAAATCCGCCAACTGTTGGCAATCAAGGTATTTCCCAAGCTCCGACTTAGAGTCACCAGGATACTCGTTTGTTTGCTCACCCTCTGATTGGAGTCGCGTTCTTGCACAGACATGAAAGACATAAACTAGTTGCACTCAAGTTGCCAAGCTTTTGTTGGTACCGCTTGCTTGCAGCTGCAGGCATATTTCCAGCTTGCCGAAGTGGGTTAGCTCACCAGCTCACGACTTGAAATGCCCAGCCCCCCTCTTCCACCCCCGGCTGAGTGCGGGAGGGAGGGAGTTCTGGATGACCCAAGGCTTCGGTTTTTGTTTGGTCTCCGATTGCTTTTCCATGTTTCCAGCTGCCCAGTGGATTTCGCTCCTTTTTCAACTTGTTTTTGGGTGTTGGGTTCCCCTCAAAACTCAACCAACCAAAAAGGATGCTGATGTTTTTTTTTCCCCCATGGCCACTGGGCATCTGAGTGTTGGATCATGTGCCTCCTTCAATTGAGAACCTTTCCACACACAACTTGCTCACTTGCTCGCCGCTCGGGAAACACGGAGGAGTGTGCTAGTGTCGAGGTTCGTGTGTTGGCCTGCTTTCCAGTGGAGGTGTTATTCCTGTCCCGTTCCTCCCGAGCACGGCCTGAGCGCAAAGATGTCGCATTCGCCATGTGCACTGCCATGCGGTGTGAAGCCTGGACATTGAGTTGCGAGCTCCCTTTGGCCACCTTGAGATTTAGTGCATGTTCTTTAGTTTGTTGGCAGTTTGGTTCCTTTCCCTTGTGGGTGGCTGCAAAACACAACGCTGCAAAACATTGGCGTGAGCTAATTGTGTCTGGAGGCGCGTTATACGTTGCAGTTTCACCAGCGACATCAGAGCCTGCCAAAAAGGGCCGAGCTATAGCACTGGGACGCTTTTGGTGCACTCGACTTTCTACCTCCCTTCCCAGCATGCACACTTACATGTTTGAGAACCCTAAGATTCTAAAAGTAGCCTTAAGTTTGGGGATGTCACCCAAGCACTTTCAGTGAACATTCTCACCTAAGTAAATCTCCGTGGGCCTGCAGCGCTTTTGGTTTTGCCCCAGGCTGTGCCACGCGACCCATTTTTTTCCGCACCTCGCACTCATGGCGTCCCTCTTGGTGCTGCTCGCAACCCCCTTCCTGGTGGCAGCTGAGGGCGGTTCCTCGGACACCGGCGCACCAGTTTCGGTTTCGAACGGTCGGAAGGCACCGCGGATTTTGTTGAACCTGCCTGGAGTCTCCATGACCCTTTGAAAATGGGACCTATTTTTCAAGGGTCAGAAGGAGACTCCAGGTGCATATTTTTGAACCCGAGCTCGCCGGTTCGGGCGGTAAAGCGAGCTATGGTAAGGATCCTTTTCTTGGGATCACCCTTTTTCGGGTTTAGTCGAATTAAGTTTGTGCACTTTTTACGAATCAAGTGCCAACAGTACGGTCGATTTCGGGATTTTTGGCAAACCAGCCAAGTTCTGAGAGTTTCTCGCAGGGGATAGGAGTTCTCAAATCAACCAATTCATTTTGTCCGAGGCTCAGAATGACTTAATTAGGCTACTAGTTGCTTTTGTGCAGTTTCTGAAGCTTACTCTGATGCTTGGCAAGTGGCTTGAGTCATCGACAACAAGTTGGGGAAAGGGATCGGGTGAAATGTTTGCCGTGAGGATAGCTTGTTCTCAAAGGCTTTTAAGAGGCTTACAATCTTTAGATTAGGCAAGTGGCTTGTAACTTAGTTCCCACATTGACCAGCGTACAGCTCTAGAGCCCTCGCTCAGAGAGGTTGGAGTCCAGTTGGGGTCGTCAGTTGTTTTGTGGGTTGGTAGATAAAGGAAGTCCTGTACAGCTGCAACGAACAAGATCTGCTCGAAGCTGCAGATGTTGTGCAATCACATGGGTTGAGTTCTGAAGCAACACCCAACAATGAGCAACCAACCGAAAAGAAGGCGTCCCCTTTTTCCAGAGAACTCGCTCCACTTGTGCGCCCACCGTTTTAAAAACTGATGAGGCAAGAGGTGCCTAAAGGGTGAAGCAAGAATTGGGCATGGCGGCTTGGGAGAGTACTGGCAGTGGCCAGAATAGCTCTCTCTTGTCAAGAAGTGTGTTTTGTTTGCTGGAAACAAACACAGAGCACCAAAAGAGGCCGTGCTTGAATCACGCCCCTTATACATGAGTTCAACACGCGTCTTAAGACATATTTCACCACGGTTGGTCGTCTCCAGCACCTAGGATGTGTGCCCTTGCACCAGCAGCCAAGCGCCATATCATACCTTGGGCGGTTTGGGATCCTTGTTTTCCCCTGGCGTCCCTCGACCAAGCCCTCAACACTGAAAAAGCGGGAGGAAAAGCACCCCCGCTCACATGCTTTTCTGTAAAAATCCGCAAGCCAGAACCCAACAAGTGCACCCTGAGAGTCCGAAAGAACGATTTCCACCACCGAACTTTTGCGTTGGTTTTATCTCTAAAGTCGGGTAACCCCCAAAATGGCAAAATGTGTCTGGCACCTGGAAAACCACTGAAAGCCGCGAACTTTCGGAATTCTGTCCATGGTTATGGGTAGACCATGTTACTCATGTTACTACCGTGTTTGGTGGCGCCACAAGTTTTGCCCTTCAAAACCAGCGAACAAGGAAGGCGAGGATTTCCACAGGTCTGGTTGCATCGACCATTTTACCGCTTGGTTTGGAGTTGAGGCAATCTCCGGGGCTTCTTTGACACCACCTGCACCGGCACCGGCACCTTCCCCGAGGGCGCCCCCCTCTGTGCCCGGGCGGAGTTCCCTCTGGCGCGTTCATTTTTACTCCACAGCGCACACCACGGCACGTTAGTGGATTTTGAGGGGGAGTCCTGTTGTGATTTTGTGCGTTTTCAAGGAAGGGTCCATGTGTGGTGACGATTGGGTAAGGAGTTCAAGAGCTCACCGATTCGGAAAAGCAGCACGAGGGATTTAAGTCCCCTTTGAGTCAATTTCTATCCGGGCTCCACCAATGAGCGCCTGCATTTGGAGTTGTGGAAACGGCCAGGGGCCAAGTGAGTAAAGAAATGTACGGATAGAATGTCCATGGGTGTGCGCTCAATTTAGGAGGGGGTCTCATTTGTGTGGTTTCTTCCGGTTGTGTCCCTTTACAGTCCCACAAGTAGTACCCAAGAAAAAGACACACCCGTAAAGGCCCTGAGTAGCATTGAAAGCCAAACATGTCTAAAGTGCATGGGAATCCTTGGACCGATACCGCGAGCGTAACCGAAATCATTTGGGATCCAAAGCGTCTGTGTTTTTTAGGGGGTTCGCCACACATTTTTTTGTTTTTTCTTTCAAGTGCGGAACATGACCTAAACACATGTGTTTTTGCTCATGTTTGGCTTCTCTTGACAAGCGCTGGTACATGAGGTTTGCCAGGAAATATTGGGAACCCTGGTGATTGCAACCCTAACTGTATGTGCTAGTGGTTGGCTTTCTTTCCCTGCTTTGCGGCTTTGGCAGATGTGTGCAAAGTTCATGTGGCGTGGTTCAATCACCATTCTGCTTGGGGATGTTGCAGAAATGTTGTGCCAGACACCCAGTGGCGCTCCTCTTTTTTGGAGGGGGTTTCCCTTTAGAATCGACTACCTGGAGTCTCCATGACCCTTTGATCTGTTTAAGAATGGGGTCGTTACTATTACCCAAACGGGTCAGATCCGGAGACTCCAGGAATCAACCAAAAGCTTCCCGAAGACGCTGATTTTTTTGGAGCCAAACTGAAGAACCTGGAAGAGAGGCGGAGTTTCCGCGGTACAAAGTCTCTAAAACAGGCCACCCTCAAACACAGACACAGACGCTCTCGACAGCTCCGTTTGCGCTGGGTTTGGCTCATTGTTTGAGGTCCAACTTTCCGCGTTGTGCTTTTGTTGACCCCACATATTGGGAGCCTTTGCTAAACGGGAGAACCCAGAGTCAGCCAGGGGTTCGTCAGTCCGCTCCCACCTCTAGAAGCCAGTGCACATTGCTTTTGACAGCTGATGTTGAGGGGAAATTCGTTTCACACCAGGAGAAAGGATGAGCCGTTGTTTGCTTGTTGTCTTGGTGGGCGGGGGCGTCATTATTTTTGATTTTGAGGTCATGTCCTTCCCCACAAGAAAAACAAAAAACACATATGTTTTGTTGATGGCTGATCTGCAGAGCTTCTTTTTCAAAAAAGAAGTTGAAGCACAGGAAATGCCCAGGGCTCCGGGCGAAGAATGAATCGAAACCGCCGAGGCTATGGCGGACAACTGCTGGTCCAGAAGTTCGCCATCAAGGTGCTCAGCCACACGGCCACCTCCGGGGTTGCAGCCCGGCTCGACTGTGCGTAACATGATGCTGTGGTGGTCAAAACCGTTGAACGGGATCCCATTTTGGTGAGTTCACCACCTTAGAACCTATTTTAGTGGTTCGATTGGGATGAATTCACTGGGGGTAGGATTTGGATTTTGACCCATGGCCACATGGCGGGTGAGAGTCCGGCCGTTTCGGACGTCTTCTTGCGTTTTCTTTTGTTTGGGCGTATGACCCTGCGTTGGTTGGTGCTTCAATTAGTCGTGGAACCGTTCGACGTTTCGGAATCCGTCTTGGTTTGGACTATTTTCCTTTAAAGGGACCCTCTGATGGGTTCCATGTTAGTGGACAGGAGGGTGCATCTTTTGCCCTATGGTAGACTCCCTTGAGGAAGCAGGCACAGGTTCACACTGGCACATGCAATCCCCAAAATTGGTGGTTTCCCTTTGGTTTCAATTTGAACCAACCCCAACAAGGGTACCTCCAAAAACACACCCACGCACACACCAGTAGCCTGTCAATCCCTCCCTCGCAGCTGAAATCAAAACCTGAGGTGCAGGGAAAGCCACTCTCCCAGTCAGAAATCGGTGCGGAAATCCGTCCGTAACCTCCCGGTTTTGATTTTGACAATTCTGGTCTTGCAAGGTTGACATGTCAATGAAGGGCCCTACCACTGCGGCGTGCAGCGGGGCGGAGTTTGAGAGCAACGACAATGCCATTACCATCACCAACGAGAACGGGTGACTTGGAAGCTTAAACAAGTGAGTCATTTTTTGTTGGGTCCCCCTTTTGAGATGTTTTCAAAGGACATCTAAAGGGAAGTTACCAATGTTCGGTCCCCCCTATTTGATACCATACTGGGTGGAGCAGACATCGAATCAACAAGCAACTTATCTTTCGGGCCGATTTGAAGCATCAACTGGACCATCCTTCACCCGCCATCAAGACAAATCACAAATCGGTGATTCGTTAATCGTCCACCCGGTCAGACATGATGTTTGTCGGATTGACTTTGACACCATCGGATCCAGTGGCAACAGGTCGCTGGGATTCTCGACACTTTGGTAAACCTGGAGACCGAGAAGTTTTTGAGAGGTGCCGACCGGAGGCGGACCAATCTGCAAAAATGGCAAGCGACTTTTGTTGATTGGTTGAAAGGATGCCTTTCGAGTCCGGCAGATATGCCAAAGATATCAGTCCAAAGGCGTGGTTTCCAAATGGCAATCAAGCGCGGATGATGAAGACACGGTTGCTCATTTTGTTTGGCAAGGGCCAGGATCCGTGCAATTCTCGGTGGTGCTCAGCAGGGAATGAGGGAATGCCCCTGATAAACCATCCCTTGTGGTTTCCTGTTAGGGAAATCCCTAGATTCATTCCCAAACCGCGGGTCATTCCCTACTGAGCACCAGCAAGTATTGCCTGATGGTGGGTGCAATCCCCGCACATGGACCAATGTAATTTGAGGACCAACTGACCCAGTGCCGACTTACGGCCATTCAGATCACATGGGCGTGGCATATGTGACTGCTGTGTTTCTCGAGAGTGGCTGGTCGTTGGTGTGGCTCAGCCCCACAGGTTGCTGTGTTGTCACCGAACGTGCATGTAAGCCGGTCCTCAGAAAAGGGGAAGGGGGGTCAGAAATGTGGATACCTGCATACCTGGAACTTTGTTGCCATTCTAGATCAAAGCATTGCTGTGGATGGAGTAATTGTTTGCCACTGTGGTAATAGTTTGCCAGCGTGGAAAACAGTTGCTCCTTATAGGATGTGGTGCAGATGCTTTGGAACCCAACATGTTAATGCCTTGGAGGATATACGCACGGGTGTGTTTTCTTTTGAGGGTAGCCTTGTTTGGTGGCTATATACATATGTAGATATAGCATACATCATATACCGGTCCCTTGATGGAGGAAACGGGTCTTCCTGGCTTCTCCCTCCCACAGATGCTATGTTTGCGGGAGGAAGGGCAACAAGCAGCTAGCACAGTTAGCGCAATAGCCGCAATGGGTTTCCCGCCCATTTCATGGTTGAAATCTCCCGATTCGTGTCCCAACTGTGCCTATGGGGTATGCTAACAGATTATTACTCACTTAGACATGTGACGCATGTTGTCACTCACTTATGCAGCGCCGGTTGAAATGAGTTGCTTGGCCACTCTTGACGAACGCAGTTTTTGTTCGTCGAATGACTGTGTCACACAAGTGTGAACAAGCAATTACGTTGAAGCCTATCCACGTGGGCTACCTGCTATTTTTGCGACACTCGATTCGATTGGCACGCCCTAACTTTGACCCCGGGTTAACAAACGCCTGGTTGAGTAATAGGGGTGTTTCCTGTTAGTGCGCTTTCGGAGGGAACACTCCCCCTATCAATAGGACACATTTATGTATCCGTCGAGAGCATGGTGCCAGGCTGTTACCGCTGACTCAGGTGTGATCTGTCAGACTCCGAATACACCGTGAAGTACTGCGCAGATCTCAGTTGGCATTCCGCGAATGTGGGTGAAGGAGTGTTGCTTCGGCGGTGGTTGATAAAAAGGAACTTTACATAGGATAACCATTGGGGAAAACCACTAAACAAGTTGTTTCCCACAAAATACTGTTCCCGCATACTCTTTGTGGCCTAGCTGTTCAGGCCTTTAGAGGTTCAGGCCCAATGACCATTGGGTTGGCCGGGACATCAACACGTGGTAGGCTTCCTTCTGGTTTCCTGTTAAACCCAACCAAAAGCGGGTTCCCAAAAAGCACAAGACGCTTATATTGGGTTGATCTTCGCTGCTTATGAAACAAGACAGGATGTCCTACTTGATGCGCAGCCTTTGGCGGTCTGGGTGTAACCAAGTTTGCGCTGGTGGATGTGACGCAGAGAGAAGATCATTCAGGGGACAAAGCGATTCTTGGTTGTTTCTTTTGGCTTTCATCCCCAGTTCTTTGCATTTAAGGTGTCAACCATAGAGGCTCATGTTTTGGAGGAGTACTCCATCTTGATATGACAGCTTTTTGGAGAGGTCTAACCGGTTTTGATGCACATCCGTTCCAATACCCTCCTTGTGGTTGGACTAGGTGCCGTTGTTTCACTGTCTGTCAAGAACAGATTCAAGACACACACGCAACGCAGTATATCAATATTCAACTATACTGGCTCATGACCTTTGGTAAGTGGTGGGCAAGCAATAACCTGTTTGTTGGTTGGATTGTTTCAGGCACATATATGTATGTTAACCACGTACACGTATACAGCACATATATGTACATACATACACATCATATATATATATGTATATACATATATATATATATATATATGTGTATATACATATATATATATATATATATATTCATATGTATATATAGATATATATATATACATGCGTATAACATGTGTGCGTATATTATGATTGCGGCATGAGATAGACGTGTGCATTTGGTGGCTGCTTGTCAGGCCCTGACCAAGATCACTTCATCATCAACCTCGTGAAGCAGCTTGGCTTTCCATGCAACTGGGCGGGATCTTGGCTTCAAATGGGAACCGCCCGGCTGGCCTTGAGCAACATATGGTTGCGTGAGCATGCCTGAGTGGGCGCAATTGACTAGAGCGGGTTGGCTCGAATTGTCGGATTGAGCAATTCTCCAGCGTCCCTGTGGAACGTTTTGTTTTTCGAAGCAGGCACAGAACATAAATTTAGAGGACATGAGGGAGGCCTTTCGCTGAGCCGCCAGTAAAAAGCCGGGGGCTAGAGTTTTTTTTACTTTAAACCTCAACCCAGACACAGGAGAAATATCTAGTTCTTCAGTGTACCCCAGTCAGATTTGCACAGAGGTTCAGTCAAGGGCTGGAAGTGGCCGAAAAGCTTCGCTTTTTCAGGGTTCTTCGGGCTGCCTAACGCCTCAGGCAAGTGATCCGCAGCCATATGAATCCCCTGGGAAGTCTCCCCAAATATTCTACCTGCCCTGTTTCCAAGAATCATGGAAGTGGAGGAAGGGCCTCTTCAAGAGAGTGGTAGTTTTGCAAGACCCTCTTGTCCACTTCCATGATTGTTGGAAAGAGGGTTATGGAACATTCGTTTCAGGAGAGCAGCTGAGTTCCGGATAGTTTATGGGTTGCGTTCACGACTATGGCGGTTTTTTTTCCGCGGATCATTCATTCTGCAGGCCACGGATTGAGGGGCTCCATCCATTTTTCCGCGCCATGTACGGCTATGGGGTAAGGTGAGTGGTCCCCTTGCACTTGAGCCTCTAAGGTTTGGGCTTTGAAGCCCTGGTTTCCCTTTCCCGAGAAAGTCCACCCGGGTCCAATCTCCGAGAGTCGCCTTGGTTGGGCTTAGAACGGGAAATCCCGTTTTCCAGGAGGAATCGCAACAGTTTTTTCCTGCGGAGCTTTGGAAGAGGCTATCTTTTGACAACGATTTGCTCAGTTGTTCAGCGGCACCAATTATGTTGCCATTTTTTTGTGGCTGTTCCACTAAAAATGGTCTTCCCAAAAAGGGTTCCCTTTTTTGTTCCAGGGTCACTGAAGAACTGAGTTTGGTAGGGCCACCCATTGGTTTAAACATGTTTAAACCACTGGTTATGATGATTCTTCCCTTGTAAAGGTGGTGTTTAAACCATATTTTGCCCCACCCAGGAGTTTGGGTTGCAAGCCTTGCGCCCCAGAGGGTTCGGTTTCGCTCTGCGCGCAGGCCGGTGAATGTGGAAGTTGTGCTCGACAGCCAGTCCTGCGAAGCCGACAAGGAATTCGTGCCGTGAGCGCAAGTGGAATTCATGCACTTTCATGATCCAGACCCTGGCCTCTGAGTGACCAATGCGATAGGTGTGTTTTGGTTGCTGTTTGTTTCTGTAGAGATACTGGTTCCGGTTAGACTTCTTGGTGTCTGTTGCATGGCGTCTTTTGGGGCTCACTCCTCATTTTTTGGCAGGGTCTTTTCAGGTTGAGCCTTCAAGCGCAAGGCTCGCTAGCAAGGCCTAGCAGTGCACGCAGAATGCGAAAAGTCTTGGCAGACCAAACATGCCTTGCCAACGCTTAAAAACCGACTCGGCGGGGCTTTTTGCAGGCCAGCTGAAGGGGACTCGATCCTTGCAACGCACAGCGAGATGGAAAAAACAAACACGGCGCCCGCGCTGCCAGTGGCCATAGGTATCCAGAAGTAGCATGTGAACCCTAGAGGCAAAATGCTGGTTAGATTACCAGGACAAAAACCTCAGAACCTGTGAACCAGTTAAGAAGCTTTTAGGAACCCTTCCTGGAGGCAGGGAGGGCAACTGGAAGCTTGCCTAAATCAGATCCACAAGCCACACCTTTGGATGGGTGCTTGGCGCTGTAGGGCCCTCAGTTGCTCATTTTGGTTGACCTTACCGGTGATTTTCGGTTGACCTCATTTTGGTTCTTCATTTTGGTTGTTCATTGTTGGCGTCATGGGTGTCGCTGTAAGGAAAGTAGAAGCCTCTACTTTCATCTGCATGGTATTGCGTGTTTCCCCTTTTGATGTTAGAATGAAATGGTAAGGACTGTAGGTCCACTGTTGCTCCCGCGCCTTTTGGATACTTTAGACAAGTTGATTTCAAGTTGTTTTTTTCTAGCAGCGTGTTGGGACCACCACAAGCATTGTCATGCATTAAGTGTGCTGGGGGAAACAAGCAAGCACGGGCGCCAACATGCGCCTATGCTCGTGCCAGCGCTTTGAAAAGACCTCCTAAAGAATCCTTCTATGGCCATGTCTTAATAGGGGAGGACCCAAATGATGTCCACCAACGGGTCCCTAGTTTAAGTTTGTGCCCATATGCCTGGATCGTTTCACTTCGTGCAGACTGCCGGCCATTAGGACATGCACGAGCCATGCGCGAATGACGCGCATCAATGAAAGCCCAGCTGTTCTTTGGGTCGGAAAGCTTTGGCTGCACTCCTTGCTTCTTTGTGATATGGAGAAAGGTTTGCTGGCTGTCCCAGTGGATCCGTTTACCTGTAACCAAGGGAACTACCAATGAACAGCAAACAGAACATAGCTGGCTACCTGTAAGGGAAATTGGGATCCACCGGATGTGTTGTACCTAGTCGCAATGATCAAATATCATTGTCAACATAAGCCTTTGAAAGCGGTGTGGCTTTCAAAAGGAAGCAGAATATCGGTGTGCGTTTGTTTGTTTGGACCTCCCAAAATGGTATTGTGTGTTGGTTTCCTTTGAACCCACCCAAAATGATTCCCTCAAAGAAAGTGGAGCCACCCATGATTCGGTGAGTAATATCTCACTTTCCCGAAATCCAACAACATTCCAGGCGCGAGTTGCTGGGCAAGGGAATTCGTGTGGCAGGCGCAGTTGTCTTTTGTCTGCCCCAGCAGCTCAAGTGATGCGGGACACCAATTCCGCGTGATTGGTCGGGCATTTGATATTTGTGCCGTGGCAACGCATCTTTCGAAGCTTTCTGTTTCCATTTGGTTCAGAATATGCTTTCTTTTCCCCTGTTGGTTGGAATCTATCACTACTGGAAACATGTTTACTAGGGACTTAAGCAAATGGAGGTTCGGTTTCCATGACCAGCAGGAAACTCGCAGTGCAGGACGTGCGAGCTTTGGCGTCCAGTGCAAGGGCCAAGAAACGCGTGTTGTCAGTCTGCGAGTCAGCATCTCACACTCGGCCGGTTGGCCTTTGCAAGAAATTCGGTTGGGGTCAGAGTAGGACTCCGCAAGTTGGGGCTTCCTTTTGATTTCCCTTTCAATCCACGTTAAACCGGCTACCCTCAACCAAAAAAAAGACAGGCACCCGGATTGAATGCAGGCATGGAAGCAACGGTTTGATCCAAGTGCTCTCGCGCTGCAATGGCCAGCTCCTTTCTGCTGCTGCTGTTGCCAGCTTAGATGTGGCCGTTGTCAAAACCGTTTTGGTATCCCATTTTGGTTGGTAGATGAATTCACCACCCATTTTGGAACCTATTTTAGTGGCGATTGGGATGTTCACTGGGGGTACGATTTGGATTTTGACCCATGGCCATATGGAATATGCGCTGAAGTCACAGACGACAGGCTTGCGCACAAATATGTTTAAACAGCCAGGCCCTGGCTGGCTGCACAAGCAAATATAAGGCAAGCTAAAGCAGGCTGCTTGAACCACAGGTGTTGAGTCGTGTTTGATCAACATAGCAAGAGTCGGCCCAATTCTGGATGGAGCAAGGTCGCTGAGTGTGGCGCGAGCAGCATACTTCTTTGTCGAGGCCGCGGGTTCAACCTCAACTGTGCGGGTCATTTTAGAGACGAATCAGATGGGCGCCTCAAAAACCATACGTGGCAATTCCAGATCTTGGGCGCCTCAAAAACACCACAGGTGGCCAATTTGCAACAAGTCTTTGCTCTTTTGGCAGAGGAAGTGAGACAGGTCTCAGACCTTTGCCTTTGATTCAACCGCGCAGGTCGAGCGCGCAACGGAATTGCTTTTCAGTGATGGGCTTCATTGTTGTTGGCGTGTGATTTAAGTTTTCTGTCTGCAAATGTGTGTTTTGTGTTGGGCCAATGGTTGGAAAGTGGGAGGTTTCTTGGATTTCCCTTTCGCAACCCCAGGTCCCTTGGCACCTTAGCTGTGGCTCATGGTTTTCGTACACTTTGCGTCTCGGTTTTACCCTTTTCGGGGTTGTTTCAAAGGGACGCCAAGTGGGAAACCACGTTTTTGGAGAGCTACCATGGAGTGTTTTTGTTTGCAGGTTTCGCCCGAGTCGAACGTGGGAACATCAAGTTACCCTGAATTGGTGGTTTGAACTTGGTAGTGTGGGGGTGGTAAACGTGGCTTCCCACGTTTCAACCTCAAAATCTCAAACCACCAAGTAAGGGGAAGCTGCTTGAAAAAATGCCAGGAGGGCTCGGAAAGATGCTTCCGGCAGGACGTCCTCGAGAATCAGGCCAGTCGACTTGTTGAGGCCTTTGAAAGGGGTTTGGACCGAGCCGCGTCCATTTAAAGCCAAGAGACCGGTGGATCCTCGAGCAAGAAGGTTTCCTGGTGTCTGAAGACCAAAGGGGGGGTTCCTCAAAGACACCACCCATTTGTCAGTTGTTCAGTGGCGCCACTAAAAATGGTCTTCCACAAAAAAGGGTTCCTTTTTCTTCCCAGGGTCACTGAACAACTGAGATCTGCATCTCTGATGGAGCGCAAACAATTGCACTGGAAATTCCCACAAGAACGGCATGAAGCCAACCGAAGGTCCTCGCAGAAGTAATTTCGGAATCCGCACGCGTTGTGGATTCCGTGCTGGGTGAGGTGGAACCATAGGCGTCAGCTTTGCGGTTCGCCTCGACAGGTTCTGCGGATTGCGTACAACATGAACGACAAGGAGGCGAAAGAAAGAATCGGTTTGCTTTCGAGGGATGGGAGGTACCCCCAAAACCAGAGCGAGTGGGATCCCATGAAATATGGTCATGCTTGGGTCCGACCTGTGGGGTAACCCAACATGGCGCCTGGGGGCACGTTGACCGGACGTTGGTCAATCCTTCATCCGCAAATCCCCACACCCTGAAGAATGGAATTGAGGGAGGGGGTGACCTCTGGAATTCCATTTGCAGTTCCATGTGTTCTTTGTGGGGAAGACTAGTTAAATGCAATTGAAATGGGTCCCGGACCCCCCCCCCACAGCGATTCAAAACGGATTCGATTGAGAATTGAAACGAGCTCGTCATGCTTTGTCTCAAAAGCGGACCCCGCAAAAATGGCTGGTGTCCTTTGGAATTCCCTTGAGCCCCCCAAAGAAAGATGATAAACCAGGAGGTGCCTTGCAAAAGACAGACTTATATAGGCCTTTTTCTGGAGATCTATTTCTTCCAGGGTTTAGAACTAGAGTAGCCCAGCAATAAGCATGCGTACGCCTGGTCGAGCGAGATCCTTCATCAGGCCGGTTGTCTTATTGGGTCTATGATGAATGTGGCTGTTTCTGACCTTGGCGGTTGCAGATCGCGCAAGCCGCGTCTTTCTTCACAGGTACTACAATTCCTTTTTGGGATTGTTTTGAAGCACGCGCAAGAGGCAACCCCCCAATTGGGAGATTCCTTGCCTTTTTGAGACCAACAAATATGAACGAGGTTCTGTTCTATTTATTCACTTGGACACATTCTTGATGAGAAGAACAAGAAGAATCGAAGGGATACTTAATGTCCTGATCAAACCTGTTCAAAGGCAATCCTTCATCCTTATACATACTGTGGGTGGACGAAATCCATTTTGCAGAAATATGCAACACCAATCTCAACTGGTGACTGGGTTTTGTCCATCCAGAGCAAGCAAGTTCCCGAGCAAAGTTTCTTTCAAGGAAAGGCTTAGGATGTGCCAACCAGCTTTGAACAGCCGGTAGAGACATGTCTAAGGATTTTCCTAATACACCCAGGGATTACACTCCAGGGAAATTACCCAACATAGTCCCATATAGACCAACACAGCCAGGTTTTCTCTCTCGAAATAGGCCAGAATAGAGAGATTCCCCAGACGCAATCCCAGGATGTAATTGGAATTTCCTTGCAACATTGGCTCAGTTGTTCAGTGGCACCAACTCTGTTTCCCTTTTTTTTGGTGTCTGCCCCTTCCCCAAAATGGTCTTCCCCAAAAAGGGGTCCTTTTTTTCCAGGGTCGCTGAACAGCTGAGTGGTTGGTCCATTTGGCGCGGGTTGTTTTGGCTTAGGACGCGCCGGAAGTTGGAGCATTGGAGAGCGCCAGGTGCTGCACAAGGCGGAATGCAAGATCTTGGTGAAGAGCCCGGCCGGCGAGGCACGAACCGCTTGGGATTTTGCGCGGAGTCAAGTGAACGTCCACACAAAGAGTCGGGGAAAGATGCAGAGGGCAGTCCCTAGAAATAGGTGCAGCGATCCGCCTCTGAATTTCCTTGTGGATTTGCCAGGTGTTGATTGTACAAGGTGGAAAGGATGTGGCGAGTCTAAGACAAACTTAGCACGTGCTTTTGCAAGATTGCATACCACAACAAGCTGAGCGGTGGGTTCTACTTGAACGTCGTAGGCGGTGGTTGTGATGGTGCTTCTGGTGCCGCTGGTGCTGCTGCTGCTGCTGCTGCTGCTGCTGCTGCTGCTGCTGCTGCTGCTGCTGCTGGTATTGTTTCTGGACGTTGTGGTTCTGCGGACCCTATTTGGGAAGCTAGGTCATTGGCGTCAATATACTAGATCGGAGCTTGGCTAACTCTGGGCTCGGATGCAAACGATTCATAGGGGACGAAATATGAAACAGAACCACCAGCACCCTCCAAGGGTGGTCCATTTGTACCTGCAGTGAGCCATTTTGGGTACAAATGGACCCTTACAAGATGGTTGGTCATTTCCCAAATTAATGGGGTCATGGACCCATTTTTCAAGGGTCATGGAGACTCCAAGGACATCTCAGTTGTTCAGTGGCACTCTTTTTCAAATGGTCTTCCCCAAAAAGGGCCCCCTTTTTTTCCCAGGGTCACTGAACAACTGAGACATGTTTCTCGTTTTTTTAATTCTGTGTACCCCGTTTTTTTCTGTGCACCTGGAGTCTCCATGACACTTTAAAAATGGGTTCATGACCCCATTATTTTGGGTAATGGTCTCATTGTTTGAAGGGTCATGGAGACTCCAGGTACCCCCAGATGTTGGCAGAGAGAATTGGGGCTTTTATCCAATGTCCCGGTGCTCAGGTGATCAAGGACCACGCGCTGGTGGACTCCCATGATGGCGCTCTAGGCTCAGTCGTTGGATGCGCCAAGCGCCAAAAGGGAAGCGACCACCGGTGGTCCTTGTTGGTCCTTGTCGACCACCGGTTGTTGGGAGAGTCGACTCAGAGAGTGAGAGCACATGTCTTTGTGTTCACTGGCCGGGAGTCTACCGCTTGCAGAAAGGAACTGGACCCTGTTCAGACACCTTTGCATGGTTGTTGTTGGGAAACTTTTTACATTTTGCTTATTGTGGCTTAGTGGGCAATCCCCACTTAACTGCTGAAATTTATTTGTTTGCTCCCCTTCCAACGTCAACCAAGGAAGCTTAAGCGATGTGCCATAGTCAAAACAGGTCCAAACACATCTAGCTTTTGCTTCAGGTTAGGGTCAATCATGAGCCCCTTGTGGATCTTAGGCAGCCATCATGGTTGCTATTGAGTGAACCATACCTATATATTGACAGATGAGTGTTTTCCATGGCGCATATGTTGACTTACGTTGGATCTGGCTTGGTTCCTTAGGCGGGTTCACCGAAGGACAATGATGTGGCTGTGGTTGTCAAAACCAGGATCCCATTTTGGTTGGTAGGTGAATTCACCGCCCATTTTAGAACCTATTTTAGTGGGGATTGGGATGTTCACTGTACGATTTGGATTTTTACCCATGACCATGTATGTAGCATCCTGGCACCCATGTGTTGAACCCATGTAAGGTCACCCGGCTTAGAGCGTTGGTTGAGAAAATGCGCACGGTCCTGTACCTGCCACAGAACCCAGCACGTGGCAACGCCCGAGCGGTCGCTAAGGTGTTGGCACTTCTGCCAACGTCTGCGGGCACACATAGCATTTGTGTACACTGCGCTGGCCAGGCGGGCATGTTGTGCTTGTATTTGCAATCTTGCAATATTTGAGGCTTGGAACTGCAAACCCGAGTTCAGACTCCCCCTTTTGCTTTTGCACCAGCAAGGCGGGGACGTCTTCATGGACGAAGACATGTTGACTGGTCCATGCTGGTCCTTGACCGGTCGGGCCAATCCAAGCAAAACAACTCTGGCCACGTTGCTGGCATCACATCATGAGAGGTGTCAGGCTCTTGGCTCCATTCTTTAGCCTGCCATATATCAAAGCGAGTAGTAACCAAATAATAAGCAACACGGTCAGACACAAGGGAGCATCAGCAACAGCACAAGCAGATTCTGTAAGCGCAAGCAGCAGCAGCAGCAGCAGCAGCAGCAGCAGCAGCAGCAGCAGCAGCAGCAGCAGCAGCAGCAGCAGCAGCAGCAGGTGGCGGTGGCGGTGGCGGTGGCGGTGGCGGCAGCAGCAGCAGCAGCAGCAGCGGCGGCGCTAGCAACAGCACAATATTTCTACCAGCAACAGCACTAGCAATAGCCAAGGAAAGCCCCCCCCCCCCCCCTCTTTGTTTCAGTCGATCCCTCAATCATTGCCAAGCCCGTTCCAAGGAAGACCATGCGATGCCAGCAATTTTGACGAAATCTTCAGACAGGCTGCCCCAACCCATGAAAGGCTCTCAGAGCTCCAAAACGCTGCTGCGCGTGGACAAAATCCAATTTGCACCACTTGGGATAGATGAAGCCGCATAAAAATGGGATAAACCACCTACCAACTGCGACTGCGGGATTTTGCGTATCCACAGGAAGATTCCATCCAAGCCTTTTGGGGCCTTCGCGTGCTTGGCTGGTCAGGGGATTTTCTCCAGCCTCAGCAGCCAGAGGCAGGTCCGATGAGGCACCCCTTGATGGTTTGGATTGGTTTGGGGGTAAAGGAACCCTAGCTGCTCCTTTGAAGCCGGATTGGGAAGGCCACACCAAGCCAACTGACCAATTGCTTGTTTTTTGTAGCGGAAAGGTGAGATGGAAATGGGTGTAGACGTTAGTTAGTTATTTTTGAGATGCTCGGTTTCCGATTTGGTGTGCGTTGACACCGTCTAAATGGGGCTTCCGATTTTGTGACAGACCCATACGATCCATCATGGTTGGGAACACAAGCAAAAACACGGTCAGAAACACCACTAGGTTCGACGCTCCTGCTTTTCCCTGTTGCTTCGGGACCCACTCAACAGCTAGCCACCTCAACCCAGCGGGTTTCGTGGTTTCGGGGGGCTCGGGGGGCGTTGAGGTTTGAGTCCTTTCGAGTCGATGGTTCACCTGCCCGGGAAATGGCAGAACTTGCGATTTTGTGTCACGAAACGGCGGGGGCCGACTCACGCTTTTGGTCCAACCCCCTTTGGGGAAGCAGCTATGCAGAGGCTCCTGGGACCCGGGGATCATGTTCACTGAGGATTGTATTATGCAAGGGTTCAAATTCAGAGAGCCATTGCCACTGACAAATATCCCAGTGTTTTTAAATGCTGGGTCCCTTGGTTACCCACTTTGCAGGTATACATCAACTGCACATGACATGAAGGATGTTGGGGTAGGACAACTTACCGATTCGATAGGGAATGAGCTGGAATGACGCAACATATATATATATATATGTATACAAAAACCATGCCTTGTGGTTTCCCGTCAGGGGATGTGTAGCATTCCCAAAACTCCTGTTGATTCTCGACTGAGAACCATAAAGACAAGTTGTTTTGCCTTTGACGACTCTTTGGATTTCTCCGAGGATGTGATGTTGCCCGCGACACTGGCAGATGTGCAAGAGTTGCCAGGGCTCGCTCGCAGTGACCCATGCTTTGTGTAAGATGGTGCATAATAACATAGCACTAGAGAGTGGTGCGGTCAAGCTGTATCTAGGGTCTGCTGCTGGCTTCTGATCGATTCTTAGCATTCGATCGTTAGGGAAACAGATCAAGATGCAACGAAGACGAGCTGAGCAAAGTGTTGCACAAAGGTACCTTGAGTCTCCTTCTGACCTTCAAAAAGTGGGTCATGACCCCCTTTTTTATAGACCCCGTGTTTAAAGGGTCAGAAGGAGACTCCAGGCAAATCCATTGACTGTTTGGTGGGTTCCTCCAGACCTGCACAATGATCAGACCAGACTTTCGACACACACGACCCATGTTTTGCGCCCTGCTCATGTGCCAGATCCATGGTAGAAAGTTGCTTTCAGAAGCCTCCGAAGTGATCGAGTCATGGGGATGGGCGTGTAAACATGTTTCATGCCTGATTTATCCCTTTTGGCGACTATAGGTATGCTTGTGACATTATGTTGATTTCTATGGCCCCAGGATTCTCGCTACAACCATGCATCTCCTACCTCAATTGAGGTGTCCAGCATTTACGGCACTGGTAGCTGGAATTCGTGGATGTTAGGCCGGTCATTAGGCTTTCAATCAGGATCAGAGGTCCCTGGTTTACCTTTTGGTTTAATCATTTGAAACCTGGAGTCTCCTTCTGACCCTTGGAAAATGGGTCCACCCCATTATTTTGGGTAATGACCAACCATTTTTGAAGGGTCAGAAGGAGACCCCAGGAAGTAGTTGGTCAGACTTTTGGTTCACAGGTGCCATGTTCGGTAGTTCAGTACTCTCGGCTGCGCAGGCCTCGCACACCAGGGCCTGGCATGTTCGGTATAATCTTCACCCTGCCACTCCATCACAACCTGGAGTCTCCGGATCTGACCCGAATCAAAAATGGTTGGTCATACCCAAAATCGTGGTTGGTCATGGACCCATTTTTTAAAGGGTTCTGAGACTCCAGGAAGGATGAGTTTCCACGGCCAAGCCCCGTATCCCCGTGAGCGACAGGAAGCTGCGGTGGCGGCGCCGGCTCGCTCTGGCGACGTGAACCCGTGTTAAGACGAGGGACTCGTTGGACCCGTCTCCGGCCGGGAGTATCCATAGGAGGAACCTGAACATTGCGATTTGCCTTGTCGCTTTCCCCTTCAAAAACCAGAGTTGTCCTCAAAGTCACACAGAGAGCGGTTCAGGGATTCGTTTGGCTCTTCTCTCTCTCTCTGTGTCTTTTAGTCCCAGGGCATCGCTTAAAAGAGGTCATGTACTGACTTTTGTCTTTGGAATGGGTTTTGGAAGGAATCATTAATGGTTGGTTGGTTGGTTGCTTGGTCGGTCGGTCGGTCGGTCGGTTGGTTGGTTGGTTGGTTGTTTGGTTGGACCAAGCGACGTGAGGTTGGTTTGGAGCGAACAACCCTACTGCTTCCCTCAGATGGTTTTCGCTGCTGCGGGTGGAATGACAAGCCAAAGGATCTCCACTGCCCCAATGCTGCCACCTGAATGGTTGCACGGATTTGACTCAGATACTCGAGTTGATGGGTTGACAATGGAGGGTGTTTAGCCCCCGCCCCCTCCCCGCCTATGAAGGCAGTTTACAGTTTGTGCAGTTGATAATGACACGTGATCGATTAATATCGATTACCCCCGAGGGAGTAGTGAGTCTTTGAGAGGAATACGAAGGCCGGCCCGTGACTAGCAAGTGAGGGTTCTTGAGTCATTGCTGCGAATGGCGCCAGGTCCATAGCCTTTGATGTGCTTGGAGCGCCTGCCATGTGCTTTTCTGGGACCGGGTCACGAGCGAAGAGAACCGACAGTTGGGATATCCCACATGTCCTCGGAAATTGGGGGGAGGGGACATTTTTGACAGATCTCCATTTGTGGCAGCCCATGTTCCGTTTTATGAAAACTCGATCAATGCAATTGGGTCCCGGACCCCCCCCTGAAGCCAGGGGGATGTACTCCAAGGTCCGATCGGAGCAGAGAACTCTGGGTCCCACGTACCCCGAGTAATTTTAGTGTCCAAAGGGTTAATGTTCCACTAGGACCCTGTTTTCCGATTTGAAAGGAAAGGAAACGGAAAGGGGATTGGTCGGATTGGTTGTTACCTTTTCTCAGATCCCTTATTCAACAGGATACATGGTCCTCATTGTTGGGGGGCCGGGGGTTTCTTGGGTGAAATTATGGTCCCTGATCCTTTCTGAAGTCACCCTCAGGTTTGGAGACTTGAAGCCTGATTCTCATTGAGGGCAAATTCGGACAATCTATTTTTACTGTAGGCAACGTTGTTGCAGAAAGGCCATTTGACAGGAATTGAGAATGACAATGATTCAG